GAGACTGCTCGCCACTTCACTAATCTTATATTCATATTACATAGCATCATACTTGTTTTTGAGATTGAAAATGCAATCAACCATACTTGTTTCTATATGAAGGTCCACATCTTCATCTCTATTATCGTAGACATTGCGTGTCATTTTTCTAAATTCATATTCAAATTTCATACCACTACAAACAGTTTCGAGGTCCGCTATTACCTTGCAAACTTGCTCTGGTTTAAAGACGTTCCAATTTCGTCTGCGTACGGAGGGGGTATCATATCGCCGCATATTTGATAGCTCATCAGAATACAGGGAACCAAGGATACCAGCGAAGAAATTTCGCTAAAACTCGAATCCACTCTATTGCATTTATTCATGTGGAGATTATAAACCACTACATTTCTATCATAATGATTACTGCTTTCTGCTTCACTTGCATTTATATTGAGACTGAATCCCATCCCATCCCGCCCGCCCGGCCCAACATCACTACACGAGTGTTAATATATTCCAATGTGTTCATATTGACATGACGATTGTAACCCACTTTACTAGTGTCTATAGGAATATATAACCAGTACATGTGATGTATATGGAGAGTATGAACCACTATTCTTGTATTCATAGGAAGATTGCTAATCATTTCATTTTTATTTACGAAGTGATTGTGTAAACAAGAAATCCTGAATTCAAATGAAAATTGTATGCCACTATACATGTATTCATAAGAAAAGCGTAAATCATCAACACAGGCACTCACCCATATACGCAGGGCTGAAGTAATAAATACAATAACCACATTGTAATGCCATAACATTATATATATTTCACAGATCTTAACATAAAGTTAACTAAACCACTAGTATTTTATTTTTAACTGATTTTTATCACTTCTAATCATGCTACCGACATCATGATGCAAATTCTAATATGCGTTCTTATTTTACGAACTTGCTTGAATAATATGATCAATAAAATTAGGATCGTCAGAAAAAAAGCGACAAGTATAGATAGTAAACTCGCCGTCTCTGCGAATCAAACAGATTCTGTCTCTTGCTGTATTTTCCTCGGGGACTTGTGATTTCAATTGAAGGTGCTTAGCGAAAAACGGTACACATTCCTACATGTGAAAACAAAATTATTCACGTAATTAGACGACACAATTGGACATTGCGAACGCTCATGTTTTTTTTTCGAAAACAAAATACGGTTTACGAGACGCTAAATACGAAAAATACTAGTTCTGTTCAACCAGATCTATGTAATTGTTATCGCACTTTAGAAACACGACCATGATGTGTTTTAATAACTTTGTTAAGACCAATTTGATAAGTGAGAATGTATAATAAAAAGCAATAGACCAGTTTGCAAAATCGCGAGCACAAACTACTGTTAATTTGACCATAATGGAGGTAGTTATTACATTAACACCAACACTGCTATGGTTTTAGTTTATATTGTATGTAATGTATACCTATTCAAAATATAATGAATAAGACATTATTTATACCGTATATGCATAATAATAATCCATACCGATTCATTTAATATATTACACGAAAATAACTGCTTTAAAACAACAACGATTTTCTACATTTAAATACATGTAAATTTTAACGGGAAGGAATTCTCATTTGCATTTTTTGACAAAGATTACTTCTTATAACGTTTTTCTATGGTATCCCGAATTCAAAATATAACAATTGTATTGAAAATTTAACAGTCGTTAAACAGCTATTAACCTCATGTGACTATGTTGATACTTATTGACTTATTTCAGTGTATTTCGGTGTTTAGTTTTATATTATTAGTATAATTATCATCAGATATATCATCACCAAATACTCACCACACTCTTACAAGCAACTCGACTCCAATCGTCTCCTATATCGACCTGACATCGTTGGCAATTGTCAATTGGTAATGTTTGCTCTCCCTACGAAACAAATATATATAAAGTATATTTATGCATTGCTTTTGTTTTACAAATGGATATAGAACAGACCGAAAATACCAGAACGGTTATAAGCCATAATATTAAAATTTACGGAACTAATTTGTATGATATATAGTGTCACTCAGGAAACTCATTATCAGTTTTAACCCGAAATGAGCGAAACGATTCCGCATTTGTTTCGACGTGCATACACGTTGGCTCGTCAAAAACTTCACAGTGTTTATGTCACGCACAAATGCCTTCAATTGTGTGTTTAAATATGACCATTGACCTATAAAATTACTGCGATATACATACATTTATTTGGTTTGTGTAATACGTCAAGAATGTGAGACTTAAATAAAATGATATCACTATCAACCCAATAAAAAAATGATTGATAAATATAACATACTGGGTCGCCCTCTTCCATACCGCCAATCTTTGATGCGAGTATTGCATTATACTGGAAATGTTTTGTCCCAGGAAGGAATTGTGAAACCCCTTCGTAATATACACCGTGATACGAAGCGTTTTTCCCTTCTATTTGATTTTCAATATCTTCAAAACCAGTGGGGCAGGTGAAGTCTTCTGTGCACACACTATGCCATACTCCATCTATGTACATGACATCAGTACAATCCACGCACGTGCCATCAGCAGGACGTCCAGGATGCAGTTGAGCATTAGATGTAACCACCAACATGATCAAACCCCAAATGA